GGGGGGGGGGGGGGGGGAGGGGCAGCAATGAACACAGATAAGGTGGATGGGAGGGGCACTAATGATCACAGAAAGCGTATTGAGCGCACGTGTGTTGTTTGAGCTGGCTGAGGGAGGCAACAACAACAGCGCACCATCCCAAGACTAACCCAGCTTAGAAGGCGAGCTCGAACGAACCAGAGCAGACTAGACGCAACACAACAACCAAGCAACGGTCGAAATTATCAACCGCCTCCTGTGCTGTACGGTCGCCCGGCCTACTTCATAATGCGTTAAGAATTGCGCCTCATTTTCATTCGCCCCCTACTTGCTGTACTGCCGTGCTAGCTGTGCATCTTGTTTTCTAGAACTTGAGCCTCCCTCTCGATCGCCCCCACCAGCAGCACCACCGTGCTACGTGGACGTGCATTTCGTACTATTTCACGTTTAGTCTTCTCAATCTCCCCCTGCAGCTGTACCGCCGTGCTAGCTGTGCGTTTCGGTTTCTAGAATTAGAGCTCCTCTTCTCGATCCTCACCACGCTGACTCTGAAGAGCTCGTCCGCCATCCTGCGGACATAGTCCTGCTTGCAGTCCGACACCATCGACTCGAACATCTGAAATTATTCACGGTACGGGTTTTTACCGTCGCGGGAAAAACGGAACCAGAGGGAAAGAGGTGACGCGGGACGACGGCGCGGGACATGGTCCCGGAACGGGACAACTTGTGACACGGAGCGATCTGTGACACAGAGCTCAGGTTGAAACGGAACGGGCTATGAACCGGAATGACTTGTAACACGGAACTCTTTGTGAAACGTGAGAGTTGTGAACCGGAACGAGCTGTGCTACGGGGGGACGGAGCGACCTATGAACCGGAACGAGTTGTGTCACGGACTAAGTTACGCAACGGGCGCATGCGTGGAACGGCATCCGGGACGTGACGTGGTGAGTCACGAACCCCACACGCCCTAAAGCATGAAAACAAACACACGGGGTCCCAGATCATGGCATGTAGAATAACTTTGTGGTTTCAACCGCACCGAGACTGATATTTTCGCTGGTCAGCCTGTCAGCGCGGTCGATGCATAACAAGACACAAGCGCGCACACGCAAACCACGGGCCAACGGCAACGTGTACCATCAACAACGGCGGTGACCGCCAAAACAAACCGAACAAAAGGACGCAAAATAACAGCGGCATTCGTTCACTCACCTCCTGGGGCATCTTGAGCCTGGAGTTGATGTTCGCCAAGAACGCTACTCCCTGAGCGCTCATCTTGCCCTGCTTGGCCAGCTCCTGGTTCACGAAACGCCTGATCACGGTGCCGCCGATCTCTCGGTGGATCTGACGAGGGGTCCGTGACGCCGATGCAATTTGTTTTTGTTCACAAACGGTGGTCCAAACGAGAGCGCGTGCGATTGAGAGGGGGAGGTCGTGGGCAGGAAAGCCGAAAAAAAGCTCGGTGGATCTGACTAGAGGATAGGTAACGTTTTAGACAAATTGTTTGGTTGTTTGATGTTGTTCATAGAGTGATCCAAAAGCGACGAAACAATGACGGGACGATTGAGAGGGGCACAACCAAGAGAGAGAAAAAAAAAAAAGAGGGGGGGGGGGGGGGGGGNGGGGGGGGGGGGGGGGGGGGACACCCGCTACCATACTCACGTCTTTGCATTGGCCAGCCGGTCAGCGCGGTCGATGCAACAAAAAACACACACATAGACACACCCAGCCTTGGGAGTGGACAGGAGGATGCCCAGAGTGTCGTCAGCGGAGTCGCGAGCTAGCGCAAAGCGGACGAGCTAGCAACCGCGTTGGGTGGCTTGCCGATGCGCGGGCGAAAGCCTGGTGGAGGGACTTGGGCGGGCGGAGGGAGGAGCGTCGAGCGAGCCGGCTGCGAAATGACCTCGGACTCCATTGTCCCACTTCCCGACAAGGTAAGTCACATGTGCTTTGAAGGAAAACACACGTGGCTAGCCCAACTGGAAATGGACACGAGTGATCAGAAGGTGTTTCGTGGCCGGCCGGCTCGACGCCCCCCCCCCCCCCCCCNCGAGTGATCAGAAGGTGTTTCGTGGCCGGCCGGCTCGACGCCCCTCCCGCCCGCCCAAGCCCGTCTACCAGGCTGCGACAATTTTTCCAACGCGCTGGCTACAACTCTAGCCTTTGCGCTTGCCTCAGGCTCTACTGCCGAGACTCTACTGCGCCGGACGCAGCGACCCCCGCTGACGCTACTAAGTCATTTTCTAATCTATGTCGGGAGTTGATCTGCGGAAGAGATGGATTCGTATTGTATCATAGCAAGAAAAAAGTGAAAATAAAATAATATATTACGAACCTTCATCTTCACGTCCGCCTCGAGGCCGAGGATGCCCGCCAGCTTGCTCTGCCCCTGCTCGTAGCGCTTGAGCTGCTCACCCTCCACGCTGAAGCCGTTGACCACGAAATTCTGGTACAGCGCCGCCAGCATCTGCGGACCGGGACGTCATCCGACACCATCATCATATCCCCACCACGGGCACGGGAGAGCGGAACGCCACGAAACAGGGAACCGCGAATCAAGAACGGGAAGCCGTAAAAAACAGGCACCAGTGGCAGTGAGGAGGGAGGGAAATTCAGTCAATCAACCAGGCAAGAGGCAGCAGCAACGACGACAAATTCAACAAAACAACAGCGGCAGCAGCAGCAGCAGCAGCAGCAGCAGCAGCAGCAGCAGCAGCAGCAACAACAACACCAAACAACAACAGCAGCAGCAGCAACAATAACAACAGCAACAACAACAGCAGCAGCAACAACAACAACCCTAACCCTAAGCACCAACACCAGCGACAGCAGCAGCACCAACAACAACAACGAACCTCGTCGCTGTTGCCGCCGATCTGCTTGGCCGTTACGGGGTAGACGTCCTCCGCTCCGTCCTCTCCCTCCTCGATGATGCCATTGTCCACGTAGAAGTCGATCAAGGCGAGCACGTCCGAGGTTACGGCCGCACCCCCCTCGATACCCAAGGTTCCTGTTCGGCGCAACAACAAAAAAAAGCACAAATGAATTCATGCTACAAGGGGCGCTCCCGGAAATCACAGCATAGCAGCAGTGTAATCAAAGTGTGATGCACAAGATGAAAAGATTTTTTTGGCGCGAATCAACTGCAACATGTCATCAGTGACGTTTCCCAAGCACGAATAGCCCAGCGAGCCTCAACGAACAAAAGGACAAAATTACAAATCTGCATGCAGGCATACTACCTTCAATCTGTGCAGTGGATACACATGTAGCGTTAACATCTTTCAGCGCCGGCTGGCTTTATAATTGAGCGAGGGAGAGAGAATTTCCCGTCATATGAGGCGCGCGCGGGGGAAACTCACCCTCTGCTCCCATGACGTCATCTCCCATGTCCTTGCCCGTCTTCTGCGCCAGCTGCTCCTTGCTCAAGACGCTGCGCTCGAACTCGTACATGATCTAATGCAGGCAGACGCGCCAGCAGAGGGAGAAGTTTGCAAAGAGGTCAAAACTAGTAGTTGTGGCGGCGGCAGCGGCGGCGGCAGCAGCAGCAGCAGCAGCTTGGAGGAGCAACAGCTACAACAACACCTCACAAAAAAAACATCAAGCAAGAACACCCACCACCGTGGATGGCCTTTGTAACCACCACAAGCAACAACGGCGCCAATCTTAACGAACGCCCAAACGCTCCGAAAGCCGGTACCGAACCGAAACGAAGCCCACTACCGTACCCCAAAACAAGGCATACGCGCGCACGGCACACGCAACCAACGCCACAACCTCCACCAACACTAGGAACCGGTCAACGAGCAAGGCACGTCAAATCCGCAAGTGGGCAACACAATCTACACACCGGCACACGAGGAATCCGTAAACGCGCAAGGCACATCAACATCAAAAACGCACACGCAAAAATAACTAGTACACAAGAACACGACGAAATGAGGTCAGGTGACGTCACGCGTGAAGACACGCACCTGCTGCATCATCGGGCCCATTCTCTGGCGGATGGCGGCGTGGAACATGAGCTTGGCGGACTCAAGGGAGAGCCCCAGGCGCACGGCCAACTCGTCGAGCTTGGAGCGGTACTCCTTGGCGACAACGCCGGTGGCTCCCATGGATTCGGCCACTGCCTTCTGGAACGTCGTCGAGCACAGCTGGAAATTGGAGACAAACAGCCAAGACGGGGGCACACGGGAAATGGGCACAGACGGGGGGGGGGGGGGC